GCCTGTAAAACAATTAAATAATTTCAGTCACACAGCATATCATCCTCTTTTCTTGTCTGAACCAAATTAGCGCAGTAATCACCTCACAAAGTTGGTAATAGTAATGAGAAAGAGATCCATGGAGAGTGAACCCAGCAAGACCTGATCTGAACAATCTAGTCCGATCAAACTCAAAAAGAGGCCTTCCTTCATAGCACTGCACATTTAGTTAGAACTCAGAACCAAGAAGTCATTGAATAGTTAATAACACGAGTATGTGATGAGCATCACTGACTTTCTTGGGTCAATATCTCAGCAACGTACCTGAGCTATCCAGTCTCCTATGGAGTACACAATCCCACTGATTGCCATTTTGGCTAAAACGGGATTTTGTTGCAGAGCTTGTTCATAAGCTATCCAATTGTGTTCAGGTACATATCTTAGTATCTCATAAAAGGTCCAACCCTAAATAACAAGAAGCTAGTTAGTTGCTCAGTTCTTCAAATATCTTATACAGAAATTACACTGTTGGTTGCTTACTTTCTTAAATACTAAGTTTGAGCTATTAGCAATCTCTCTGTAGAAAAAATACGACTTTGTGCAATTAAAATATAGTTCTTAAGCTTCTAAAGATGCACTAAACCAAGGTCCCCGCTTTGTTTGTGAAAGTCCGTCTCAGGGCCATTAGGATCTTCTGGAACGTTTTATACTCTTGAATAAAATGTTCTAATCTCTGTCTCTATGCCTATACTCGATTATAAGAACAGGTAGAAATCCCGACAACACTTCAGAGAAGCACATTGCTGTTCATAAATAAAGGTTATTAAGCGGGTCAGTGCATCACCAACCCAGAGTAAAGCGACAATGGACAGTATCTATAGAAATTATATTGGCATATAAGTTTTGTATACAGAAATAACTACTATCTAATTAGCTGTAAGAGAAAATTAACACTTCAAAAGGAAAAATTAAATTTCACTTCGTATTCAAGATACTCACATGCCAGTAATCATGGTCGATTGTTAGTAACTTAGTAACTGCAAATGACCCAAATCCCAACACCATGATCGCATTGATTGCTCGGCTTGTAAGTCGATCAGAATCGTCACCACCACCACCCCCTCCTGCCTCCATTTTGGATGAAAACGATGACGAAGAAGCTGAAAGGCCCTCAGGTTCATCAGACCCTTTTAGAGTTAAACGGTTTTCGGTTTCCTCTGGCCCATTATCCACCGATACTACCTCCCGATCCTCTGTGACGGAGCCGACGACCCAATTTCGCGTTCTGCTGTGAAGGTGGGTTTTCTTTGAGAGGGAGATTTGGCGGAAGAACTGAGAAGAGCTGATCGCGGTAGATATTCGTCTGGGGAATTGAGTGGGAGCTGGCAAAAACTCGAGAGCTCCTGGGGCGCAAACGCTACAGAAGGAAGCCATGCTTGAAACTGGATCAGATGATGGGGTTGTGCGGGGTGATCATAGCGCAAAGTTTCCTCTTTCCAGAGAAAACATAAATTGCGAGTCAAAATTTGATTGCTTGCAGCTTTCTGGTGCCTATTTCTCCTACCGTCCTTCGTCCCCCGTGGGAAACCGTAGTTCACATTCATACAATTTTTCTCGTAATTTGTGATTTACTTGATCGTCGTTGCTCCAGGTGCCTCAAAAACACAATTTATATATGGTACAGTAATATTAGTTTTATATATAAATATATATATTATGGACTTGTGGCTTGTTGATTACTGCGTCACACAGTCACACACGTAACTAGCCAACTAGGAAACTTGTAAATTCGGAAGAGATGGCAGAGCGTTGGCACACGAAAAAGAAAAAGTACGGGCTGTTATTTTTCTAGAGAACAAGGGAGTCCTCGAGAAAGGCTTATTAGCATTTTAGTTTCTACTTATGAAAAAGTTGTCAATATAAGTATCTTATTAATTTCTAAAAGTTATTATCTCAAGTATCCAAGGCGGTGTTATGCTTACGAGGCTTTTTTTTTTTTTGGGAAAATTACGTATAGGTCTCACAGAAGGCAATTTATTACTCTGAGGTCCCACAAAATGTCAAAATCACTGACAGGTCCCAAGGGACCTTAGAGTAATATCTTTGATTTGTAAAATGACATTACTGCCCCTCATATTCCAGATTCACATTTGCTTTGTCATTGCGATTTACAACCTCAGCAGCGACTATTAACAATCTAATGAGAGGGCGTTAACAACCCTAGCAGTATCCGTTAACAACTTACTTTATAGAATCATATAACCTCCACATAAGAGTAAATTATAACCAAATAGTATAATACAACAACTTTAACACTAAAATGGGAAGCTTTTTTATATCATTAAGAATTTTAACTAGATCCAATAAGATTATAGTAATATTTTAATGCGAAGATCCATTTATAACCTCAACAGCGATTATTAACAATCGAATGAGAGGGCATTAACAATCTAAGCAGTATCCGTTAACAACTTATTTTATAGAATTATATAACCTCCGCATAAGAGTAAATTATAACCAAATAGTATAATACAACAACTTTAACACTAAAACGGGAAGCTTTTTTATATCATTAAGAATTTTAACTACACCCAATAGGATTATAGCAACATTTTAATGCAAAAATCCATTTACAACCTCAACAGTAAGTATTAATAACCTAAGGAAAACTGTTAACAACCTCAGCAGTGTCTGTTAACAACTAATTTTATCGGATAATATAACTTCTAACTATAACTAACTAAATTATAACTAAATAGTCTTAAAGTTAATCTTATATAGTTGTTAGAGGTTATATTATCCTATAAAGTCAGTTGTTAACAGATATTGCCTAGATTGTCAACAGCTCTCTTTGGGTTATTAATACTCACCATTGAGGTTGTAAATGGATCTTCGCATTAAAATGTTGCTATAATCCTATTGAGTTTAGTTAAAATTCTTAATGATATCAAAAAACTTCCCATTTTAGTGTTAAAATTGTTGTATTATACTATTTGGTTATAATTTACGCTTATATGGAAGTTATATGATTCTATAAAGTAAGTTGTTAACGGATACTGCTTAGATTGTTAATGCCTTCTCATTCGGTTGTTAATAGTCGTTGTTGAGGTTGTAAATGGATCTTCGCATTAAAATATTACTATAATCCTATTGGCTCTAGTTAAAATTCTTAATGATATCAAAAAGCTTCCCATTTTAGTGTTAAAGTTGTTGTATTATACTATTTGGTTATAATTTACTCTTATGCGGAGGTTATATAATTTATAAAGTAAGTTATTAACAGATACTGCTTAGGTTGTTAATGCCTTCTCATTCGGTTGTTAATAGTCGCTGTTGAGGTTGTAAATGGATCTTCGCATTAAAATATTACTATAATCCTATTGGATCTAGTTAAAATTCTTAATGATATCAAAAAGCTTCCCATTTTAGTGTTAAAGTTGTTGTATTATACTATTTGGTTATAATTTACTCTTATGTGGAGGTTATATGATTCTATAAAGTAAGTTGTTAACGGATACTGCTAGGGTTGTTAACGCCCTCTTATTGGGTTGTTAATAGTCGCTGCTGAGGTTGTAAATCACAATGACAGGGCAAATGTGAATCTGGAATATGAGGGGCAGTAATGTCATTTTACAAATCAAAAATATTACTCTGAGGTCCCTTGGGACTTGTCAGTGATTTTGACATTTTATGGGACCTCAGAGTAATAAATTACCTTATGTGGAATTTGTATGTAATTTTCCCTTCTTTTTTTTTACCCGAAACCCGAAGGAGGCCAGGCTTGACATAAAGTTGTAAACTTTTTGCATTGAGCTCTTGCTTAGGTGGCAAATGCTGTTCTGAGATGGCTGACACCTCGATCAATATAGTGTGACTCAGCATGGTGGGTACTTTAAAAAACGACACCGCAGCGGCTGAGGTGCGACGTCAGATCGAAAGGCTAGGGTGTGAGACGACTCCCATCTTCATCGCCGTCGACCGAGACGGCGAGACCGCAGTGGAGGAGTGTGACGGTTCCAGTCTTCGTCGCTGTCATTCGATACAGATACTAGACATTTGGATTGGATATGTGCTTAAAAAGGTATTATGATAATGCTCTTTGGTTTTTTATCTAGCAAAGCGAGGGATCCAATGATAAAACTTGGAAATTTAGAGCTCATTCCAACTAAAATATACTTTAGAGAGTAATTATTTCTTCTGTTAATTTGAACTTAGTGAGTGCCGAAGAAACCTGACCACTCTGCTCTCTAATGTTGCAGTTGCAGTGTGGCAAAACCCTGATGAGAAGAATCTCTGTTCTGCTACGGCGAACTCCCCTCCCTGTAGTAGGGATCCCTGTTCCTCGTCGACCTCTAATTCTGTGTGAAGATGGCGAGTCAACCTCGAATTCGTCATATTATGATTACACATCAAGTTTCTTCGCGAAGTACAGGTCTGTGTTCACTAGCTCCCTTCCTCCTCCAGAATGGATAGAACCCTTCAGCGATATCTCTGACGTAGTCTCAGATCCTCAAAAGTTAAAGCCTTCGCCCTGGGTGAAAGAAATCATCAATCTTTTGGATGGTTCTTGGAATATGGAAGCTAATTTGGACGCTTACTGTCGCAAATTTTTCATCAAATTGACCCCAAATTTCGTTGCGCATGTTCTGCGGTCCATCGAGCTACATAGAAACCCTGATGTTGCTTTGCGTTTCTTCTATTGGGCTGGTAAGCAAAAGAAGTACGCCCATACTCTTGATTGCTATGTATCTGTAATTGATGTTTTGTTGTCATCCGGCGACTTGGATAGGTTTCGATATGTTTTTGCGGAGCTACAACAAATGGGTTTCTTGATGACAGCTTCTTCTGCTAATTGCTTGATTAAAAGTTTTGGTAGTGTTGGTTTGGTTGAGGAATTGCTGTGGGTGTGGGGTCAAATGAAAGAGAATGGCATAGAGCCGAGTTTGTATACCTATAATTTTTTGATGAACGGGTTGGTAAATTCCATGTTTATAGAATCAGCTGAGCGGGTTTTTGAGGTAATGGAAGATGGGAAAATCCAACCTGATATCGTAACTTACAACACTATTATCAAAGGGTATTGTAAAGCAGGTAAAACACAGAAAGCACTGGAGAAGCTTCGAGCCATGGAAAATCGGAATGTGGAGCCTGATAAGATTACATATATGACTCTGATTCAGGCGTCTTATTCTGAAGGGAATTTTGATTCTTGTTTGAGTCTTTACCAAGAATTAGAAGAAAGGGGATTGGAAATTCCACCTCATGCTTATAGCTTAGTAATCTGTGGGCTCTGTAGAGAAGGTAAACATGTGGAAGGATATGCTGTGTTTGAGACTATGTTTCGAAGGGGTCATAAAGCAAACAAGGCTATATATACTGCGTTAATTGATTCTTATGCGAAAAGTGGAAACATGGAGGGGGCAATGAAACTGTTTGAGAGGATGAATCTGGATGAGATCAAACCAGATGAAGTTACTTTTGGAGCCATCGTCAATGGATTGTGCAAGTGTGGGAGGTTAGAGGAGGCCATAGATTATTTTAGGTATTGCAATGGTAATGGTATTCCAGTTAATGCTGTATTCTATTCCAGTTTGATTGATGGTTTAGGAAAGGCAGGCAGAGTAGATGAAGCTGAGAAACTCTTTGAAGAGATGGCCACGAAGGGATGCTCTCGGGATTCTTACTGCTATAATGCCCTTATCGACGCCATGTCTAAGTGTGGGAGAATGGATGAAGCACTGGAACTCTTTAAACGAATGGAAGGTGAAGGTTGCGAGCAGACAATTTACACATACACAATACTCATCAGTGGACTTTTCAATGAGCATAGGAATGAGGAGGCATTGAGGCTGTGGGACATGATGATTGACAAAGGTATAACACCAAATGCAGCCTCCTTTAGGGCGCTCTCAATAGGACTTTGCCTTTCGGGTAAGGTAGCAAGAGCATGTAAGGTCATGGATGAGCTGGCCCCTATGGGGATTATTCCTGAGACGGCCTATGAAGATATGATCAATGTGCTGTGCAAATCCGGACGTGTGAAGGAAGCCTGCAAATTAGCTGATGGGGTTGTGGATAGAGGTAGGGAAATACCTGGAAGGATTCGTACTGTATTTATTAATGCCTTGAGGAAAGCTGGGAATGCTGATTTGGCCATAAAGTTAATGCATAGCAAGATTGGTATTGGGTATGATCGAATGGGTAGTGTTAAAAAACGAGTCAAGTTCCAAAACCTTGTTGACAGATGATTTCATCGGCTAGATGTCGCTTAAGTTGTGTATGAATATGAAGGTTCATCGACTGTCATGTCTTTTGAGTAAAGAGCTCTTGTTTTGGTGCCTTTTATTACTGTTCAATTTGTGGAGTAAAATAGTGTTTTAAAGGCAACTGCCAACTCTCTGATACATACATTTTGTTGTTTACGTGGAAGTGCAAGTATTCAAGTGGTATATCTTAGATTGCTGGAGAGATTAAAGATGAAATTATGTTGAACAAATTGAGAACGCTCTGGGTTTAAAGAGTATAAACAGGGTAGAATAACAATATCATTAATTCAACATGTGATCCGCAGCCTTATATGGCCTAATTTTTCTGTTTTTGCAATGCTTATCTCAAGCCTTGAGCTTGCCCCTTCTATTAAATATAAAAAGTGAAAAACAAAGAATTCATCAATAATTTCTGAAGACACTGATGAAGGAGCAGATAGGGTTAGCTTGGGAGAGAACAGAGAAGGTGATTTTTTGTTTTTTGTTTGTTTTACCAGCAACAGAGAAGGTGATTTTACCACTTGGGTAAGGCCCCAGTGATCATTGACGTGGCTCTCTCTCGTGGTTGTGGAAAACTCCACCAGGGCCTCGCCCACACTACCATTGTTATGCGTTTTGTTTTGGGCCCGGCTCTCTGTTGCTACCCCGAAAGAAATATAGGAAGAGGTTGAGCCTAGCTGCCTAAGTCCATCTCTAGGGTCTGGAGTTTACAGGCGACAAATGAGAAATCAAATTTACTTATAACCCAAAACAGAAAGTCATACGCCATCCTATCATTTAACTGTTTCATTTGATAAACAATAAAAGCACTCCTTTCAGTTGTACTTTATTCAGGAAATAAACAAATGAAAAAAAAGGCGACGAATGCATGAACAGGAAGCAACGTAGTGGAGCATATAGCTCCCTGCGTCGAATGTGACAGGCATTTATTATGGAATAGATGCTGAGCGTGTTCCTATCCTACACAGCACTGGGCAATCCAATATTAGCTTTGTCACTGTGTCCTTGTTTTCGTTACAGGGCCTTTGCCAGGTTATGTCCTTTTTTCACTTTTTCTGTTTTTCATGAATCCTCTGAATTTTTTAATTATAGAGCACTGTGTGCACAGGTAAGATCAGATTAGCATCGGTAGTTGGCCATTGTGTGTGCCTAACTGTGCGTTTGGATGTGGTTTTGAAGAGAAAATCATGTTTTTGAAAATATGTTAGGTATTTTTTTTTTACCAGTAAAATTCATAAATAAGGATTTTTCACCATTTTCCCTCCATTCATTCACTAATGAAAAATATAATTACATTCATCCAACAAGAATCGTCAAGAAAAATGAGGAAAAAGGATTATTAAGAAATAGAAATAGATGGGCATGTTTGAACTCCTCTGATCTCCCTAATTTCTTTCCCTCAGCCCTCCCGATTAACCCATTTCTACGCAAGAGTAATAATAAGAACATTATTAGATGATGAGCATGGAATCAAATATTAACACATTAGTAATACCATGGACTTTATAAAAAAAATGAAGGGTAAAAAGTCAAAGTGATAATTTGAGCTCCCTCCAATGTAATGCCGCACGTGATGTATTACTCTGGCGTCCAATTCATGAAGAATGCCAAACAGCTTCTGTCCCAATTCCCCGCTCACACTGTGATGCAGAATAAAAGCACCGTCTATTTGACTCTTTGCCCCCTCAAAGGCTCAAACACACCAAATTGCATAAAAGCATTTATCACATTGTGAATAGTATTGTTATGTTTGGATGAGATTTCAAAATTTAAACCGATGATAATTTATTTGTGTGTTTAAATTAATTGTAAAATATTCAGTCCTTGATTGTCCTTTCAAATTCCTTTCCTTATACATTGTATCGCTCCTAACTATCATCATGTCTTTTATTTTAAAAAAATATTATTAAAAAAAAAAGGTATTTCCATTCAAACATCTCATCTATGAAGATGGGTCCAATAGTCTGAGAATAAAAGAGCGGACAAAAATAGAAGTCTACACTTAGACAAAAATTCTAATGTTTAAGAGCCTTAACGTAAACAATTATGCACCAGTTTTTGTGCTCAAGGACCGTACGGCCTGACCAAGTTGGAAATTTTGCGCCAACGAGACTCCTCTCTTCTTTCTTGTCTAATCCAACTTCTGATTGGTTCTCATGTGACCGACACAAATGGCCGACATAAATGCACGTGCGAGAATTTTTATTTTCCTATTTCTCCAGCCAAAATAAAACGAAAATTATCCTTTTTAAAATATTTTTGAAAAAAAAACTACTCATTCAGTACGGTTCAAAATTTGATGTGTTCATATGAAATCGGGGCTAGCATATTCACCAGCTGATTGTTGAATGAGATAGGCGAGTGACGTACTTAATCTTAAGCACATGATGGGTCATTAATTTAAATGGTTTAAACTGAGCTTTTTTTTTTTTTTTTACCTTTGTTCTGTTAAAAAAAATCATCTTAATGTGTGTACAATGCCAAATAAAGATAATTTTTAATTAACTTTTGAAAAAAAATAATTTTTATCTAAAAATTACTCCTCCGGTCTTTAATACAGGACCTAATTGTTGAGTTGATTTTAATTCTAAATATAATACCTGTTTCTCATATTTATCAATTTTTTCTAAATTATCCATATGGATGTCCCTCAATCATAATCAAGTAGAAGAGAGAAATAAGATGTTAAAAAAGATGATTATAGTGTTGCAGGAAAAACATATCATATTTCTTATAATTAACTAACTTATCTAACTTTTTTAATCTAATCAAATTGATTAAATAGGTCTTATATTAAGAACTGAAGGAGTATTAATGAAGAATTTTACATATAGATAATTGAAATCGTATTTAAACGATACAATCCTAATTATATGAATGAATATCATGATCTTCATCAATTATCATTACGATCGGCCCTAAAACATGTTCCATCCATAAATATCTCACAATGCTATCACTGATTGTTATTTTCTCGTTTTATTCAAACTACTACCTCCGGTTATTAATATAAGATCTTATTTGATTTTTTATTTGACCTTAATCCACTTTGTCTCTCATATTTATATATTTTTTTTCAAGGTAGTCTCTCTAATAATAGTAGTTCTAACTAATAAACTTAATTAGTAATGATATTTTAGAAAAGATAACACCTATTTATTATAAATAACTAACTTAACTTATTTTTTTAATTTTCTCAAATTAGTCAACTAATTCTTATACTCCTCCGGTCCTAATTATAAGACCCAATTGACTTATTTGAGGAGATTAAGGAAGTAAGTTAAGTTGGTTATTTATAATAAATAAGTGTTGTTATTCCTAAAATATCCTTGCTAATTAAGTATATTGGCTAAAACTATCATTATTAGAAAGATTATCTTGGAAAAAAATGCATAAATATAAGAGAGAAAATGGATTGGGTCTTATAATTAGGACCAAATAAAAAGTCAAATTGAGTCTTATAATAAGGACCGGAGGAGTAATTAGGATCGAAAGTAGTACACTTAATACTTTTCCTTTTAATATTTGTTTGTCCAAAGTGATGGCATCTTATTCGGTTTCACCAGGAAAACTCTCAAAACTCCAACCATGTATTTGCTTCCACCAAAAACAATACTACCTCCCGCCCTTAATATAAGACTTTGTTTGACTTTTATTTTAGTCCTAAATATAAGACCTCAATCTACTTTGTCTCTTATATTTATATATATTTTTTCCAAAGTAGCCCTTCTAACAATGATAGTTCTAATTAATACATTTGATTAGCAAGGATATTTTAAAAAAGACAACACCTATTTAGGACAAATAACTAACTCAACTTACTTCCTTAATCTCTTTAAATTAATCAACTCGCTCTTATAATTAAGACCAAAGGTAGTAGATTTTTAATGTGAAATTAAACACGCCAGAGAAAAGAATGGATGAGAAAACAGTTAAAACGGTAAATTAAGATACAACCCAAAAATTATTTAACAGCTAAAGTAAATTTTTAAAATTTTTTACTTTTCTTCAGATTTATAAATCATTTAAAACTGATTTTTCAATATATAATACAAATAATTTTATGTCAAATTGATCTTTTTATAATAATAGCTTATGAAAACATGAATCACGTTAATGTGTCATATGTGATAAACGAGGAAGAAAGTAAAAAGAAAAAATCGTGTGGTTTGAAGGACTTGAACCAATTCAACAGGCAACACGTTTGGTACTCTCGAATTCTCTCTCCCTCTCTCGCTTGTCTACCATACCCAAAACCCCCCATCTTCAAGGTGTGGACAAAGAAGTTTCGGCAAGACACAACCGTCTTTCTGCTATTAATAAGGAGGAATCGCTTAGAAACTTTTGTCTGTCAAAAGCGAAATTTCTTCTATGGGTCTCTCTTACCTACTATTTTTTTGTCTTCTTCAAGCAGGTTGGGGGGCAAAAAAAAAAAAAAAAGGCAATGAGAGTCTCAAGTTCAAATGGTTTCAGGATATTCTGAGTCATAACTTTGGGGAAAAAAAAAACAATGAGAAAAATTATTGAGTCATGAGAGGGCAAGGATAACAAATGAAAATAAATACTACTTCCGGCCTTTAAGATAAAAGCTAAATTGACTTTTAACTTAGCTCTAAATATATAATCCCAATCTATTTTATCTATCATATTTATTTATTTTTTTCAAAGTAGTTATTATAGTAATTACACATGTTAAAGTTCCATCAAATAGTAGTTCTAACTAATACACATGATTAGTAAAAGTAATTTAAAAAAACACACATATTTATTACAAATAATTAATTTAACAAACTTTTTTGATTTATTCAAATTAGTCAATTAGCTCTTATACTCTTATAATCCTAAATATAAAACCCATTTTATAATGCAATTTACACAGCAACATATATCCTATATTTAGGACGGGAAGAGTATTAAGTAACGGGGCAGTATTAGCAAGACCCAGCACCAATAAAAAGTCTCTAAATTAAAAGGCATTGTCA